ATGGGAGATGGGAGCTTTAACAGTTTTCATGTACGTGTGTGATGCAGTCGAACTGCCAAACAGCTCCATCGTCGACGCCATCGCGCCAATAATTTTTCTGCGTGCGTGTTTCATCGCTTCTATTTGTGAACGTAACATGCCGTGGACAGGCATTAGAAATTGTTGACGATGAATTATACATATTTTAATTTTTATAATTAGTTTAAGCATCACTTTTTGTTCCAAGTAGTTTTTAAGTACCTTTTTTTTTTTAATATTTTAGGAAAATAATAATATTTAGTTTTGTATAAAATGGAATTGTTTGTTTTGAGTAATATTTTTGAGGTTAGAAATTTCGGACAATATTTTTAAAATGGAATTTTTGTTTTTATATATTGTACAGAACTTTTGGTATATAACATTAGATAATTTTTTTTGGTTTTCTTAATTTTTATATCCGTAAAGCTGAGAGCGCCTTGTAACAGTTTAATTACCTTTTACCTTTCCTTATATTTACCTTATATTATTTGAAATTAGACGTAAAGAAACATGAAGGTTATATGTTTAATAATTTGTTGAATGAGTTCATAACAACTATGTTTAAACAACTTGGCTATATATCTTGATATTGATTCGTTATGTTTAGAAATGAGTTTATATTTCTATCTACTATCCCATAAAAGTACGAAGTATGAAATATGAAATTTGTCAGTTTTGGAAGACTGAAATGAGTCTACTTGGCTATGGAGAAACACAAGTATTAGTAAAGAAGTTTTTCCTCAAGGTTACTGAAAGAAATCGGTAACAAAATTGTAAAGATCTTAATTAGAAAAATTAAGCATAAGCCACAATCTTCATAGTAAACAACAAATTTGTTTATACATTTCATGAAAAAAGCACCGACTTATACTTGTATATTCCTACTATATAATAACTTATCCCTACTAATATTATAAATGTAACTTTGTTTACTTTCAAGCCGAAATCACTTAACCGTTTATTGTGGACCTTTGTACACGTCTTTCAAATGTCCAATACCATACTTATTTATATAAAATATATATTTTTACGACAAAAAAATATATTTGAAACAAACGCTAAGTAGAAGTTTTCATACATTTGCTGTCAGTGGATAGCCAAAATAATCTGAAATCAAAACTCAAAGACAGACATCCCGAATTTTCATATAATTTTCTCATTGTAACTGATTTAACCTAAAACCTCTAAAGGCGTTGCAACAAAATGTAAAAACCAAAGATTATACCAAAGAGCAAAGACGTAAACAACAAATTTCAGTTTTATAATAAAATTGTATATAAAAAATTTTCAGACCAAATACATGTTCTCTTATACTGACTTAAAACTATTTGGAAGACAAATGATAAAAAACAATTAAAGCTTTCAGTGGTTCATCGATATTATGTTAATAGCCAGTCTACACATCCACTCACAAAGAGTTAAACACATATGTGTTAGTGGTTATGTAGAACAATTAAGGGCGAGAGCACATCGAGAACAAAGCTTGGCAGTTCGACTGCATCACACACATACATATATACGCTTGGCTATACATAAACTATTAAAGCTCCGAGAATATAAAGCGTTCGTTGTGAAATTGTAAGCGGTGCGGTTTAAGGACGCACCAGGTCCTAGAAGGAACCAGCGGCTTGCTAAAAGAATGCAGCAACATCCACGAATATCAGTTCAGCGTGGTAACCAACTTCAGCGGTTTACTTATCAGTAATCGATTTGTTTATAGTCGCCAACTCAGCTAACTCGTTTAATTCGTTCTCGGACTCCTCAGCGCTGAGTGTTGAGCAAGTGGTTAATATGCTAGCGTTGAGTGTGGATGCTTCGTCTTCGTGGGTCTGCTGCTGCTGCTCGGTTACTGCTTGAGGCACATCAGTTGTCGCTTGTGGTTTTGTGTCTGTGATTTGCTGCTTTACGTTGTTGTTGATATCTGCTTTGCTGACTGTTGTTGACTTGAAAACGCTTTTTAGTAATTTGAATGCCTTTTTCAGCGCCTTGCCTGGTGTGTAGTTAGGTTTGTTGATGCTTTGCTCAGCCAAAGTGCTGGCGTTGCAAGTGTTCACGAGTTTAACGTAAGACATTTTTATTGATGCGTTGATTTCGGTTTTACGTTTTTTAGAAAAGAATTTAACTTGCTGTTTGACTTTGGAGTTAAGTTGCTCGCTTGTGTGCAAGACTACGAATGATGTTCTGCTCCTTGCCACGCTGACTATTTATACCTTTGCGCCTGCGTAGAACAACCCTTGTTGAAGGAACGATCGTTTTAAGGACCAATGAGCGTAAGGGTAATTTTCTGCGCTGCTTTGTTTGTGTAACTTGAGAATTTTACAAAATAAATATGGCATATTATTTGCTTTTGCATTTCGCTGTACGCTGCTCTTGAGCACAACACGCTTATCACTTGCTGTTATTGAATATGTATGCACATATTTGAATTGTTTAGGACAAATAATACCCAAAATCTGTTTTGCTGATTGCAAATGTTTATATTATAATCATTATTTGCAAAGATATGGAGACTTTCATACAGCAAGATATTTGTTTGCATATGGAATTTATGCATTATTATCGCCAAGGAAAGATAGTAGTAGATATATATATTTGTGTATGCATTTATCTACATCGAACTTTAAGATGTTTTTTGACTTCTCAGTCTTACCTCAAAACAAAAATAAGGTTTTTAACATAAGGTTTCGAAAGAAAATGTTCAAATTAATACTACAGAATATGGCACTTAAACACCAAGGATTTTAGAAATATCACGAAACTTTATGATTCTTATTTAGTGATATAGTATAAA